TAATGCTTTCCCTGGCACAAAGTCTGGCTTCTAGTGTAATTATACATATATATATATATATATGTATAATTACACTAGAAGCCAGACTTTGTGCCAGGGAAAGCATTATACAATAACCTTTATGAAAAAGAATAACGTTTCATGATTTGTATGTGAGTGAAATACTGCCAGGTTGCCAAGGCTAAGGCAGGTGAATGTTCTTGGGGAATCCACAACCGGAGCCTTCGGCTAACCAAAGCTTGATCCGCAAGGCAGAGGGGCAGTGTGTGAAAACCGCAATCCATCGGGAGCCGGTGTCCGGGTCGTTGCCTCATGCGCTCTTTGGACGGAGTCAAACCTCCAAGGTGTCCAATACACCTCGAGGCCTAATCGAGCCGGTGACCACGGCCACAATCAGGAAGTTGTGTGTACGGTTTGTACGCCTCCTCATGGTTGGTTTGGANNGCTTACTCCACTAGGTGCACTAACACCAACCCGGTTATACCCCCGGATATCGGCTTTTCGTCCTCTCACTTTGGTGGGAAAGCACCTCTACCACGAGAAGGCAGTGAGAAGGGCTTCCTCAGAAGAAGCTGTTCGAGACATTTGGTCGTATGGGAGCATTTCGAGAGGTGCAAAGGAATTGTGACCAGCCGCAACCCTATACACCCTTTAGTGTACAGGTTCACACGATAAGATAAAAGCGGGTTCCACCTTCAAACGAATGTGTATCACTTTGTCAGAAAATGACTTCACATTTACATGGTACTAACAGTTCGAAATCAGGTCTGTGGCAGTCACACATCAAGTAGTAGTACAGATCAGGATTAATCTGAATGCGAGAACATATCAGACGAGAGTGAGTCCCTGTAGGTCATAGAAACCGCATTCTGTACCATTTTCCTCAAATAGACGGCAATTATTAGTGATTCTCGGATTATCAATTGTTTGTTGATGTACGTGATAATGAGTTTAGATAAGCTAGAATGCAACGCATCCCTTCCAGTCCCAGACAGGATCTGCTTAACCACGTGGTGTTCAACTAAAATTCAACGAAAATTTCCTTTCGGATCCGAGTCTGTGTAGAACGGGACCGAATTGTTTCTGTGCGACAACGTGTGCCCTTTCTGTGACTCCCAAGGAGTTAAAAACCCCGAATGAATTGTTTTTTCTTTCTATTCCTTATATATTTTCGTCAAGTTAAACATGAAAATTGTTTGATTTTCTAACATTCTCATTTGCAGTGCACGATTCGAGGTGGATCGATCTCAACCTCCAGTGGAATTGTCCCGTTTGGTCAAGCAGTCAAATCTGAGGCTCTCACAGAAGCACAATCTGCGGTGATGTCTCATGCACCAATCGACAGCTCAGCAGAGGATTATAGAATTGAACCCGGCACAACTGTGAGCAGTATTGTCAGTGGCGGTGGCGGTGAGAGTGGGACTGGAAGTACCAGTACAACCACCACGAATACAGTGAGCACCCGGGTAGACGTAGCCGGAAGCGATCAGGACACAGTGAACACACTACACTGGGATCGGACCAGCCTCGGACCGGTGTCTGAGACGTGGTCATTCTATCAGATTATCATTCATTTGCTCCAATCCAACGGTCTGGAAGATCTGACCATGCAACCGTTCTGCCATGTCCGAACCGGTGGCTCGACTGAGACTGACGGCAATGCATTGATTCGTTCCATTCTTCGATACACAATCAATCTGGATCGACAGGAACAAGTCGGACCAGCCTCGGTTGATGTGAATCCACTCAATCCAAGCGCTTCACATACGCACATATGCACTGAATTGCACTCCGCATGTCCCATCCTTTTTCCTCGTCTGTGCAGAGTGCTGGAGTTCCGTTTGGCCGAAACAGGGGAAACGTTGTTACACGCGGCAGCACGGTAAGTAGTTCACTTGCACCTGGTCATTTTCTCCCCGCCTGATACCAATTCAGCAAAAAGATTGGTACGAGATGTCGATACATGCACACATCCGTGCTGCACTTATCACAAATCTTTTTATGTCGATTGCGAAAAGTTCAGTAGCCTCGGTGGGATTCGAACCCACGCATGGACGCCGCCTACGCTTAGTACGCGCATGCTCTACCAGCTGAGCTACAAGGCCACACCAATGGCACTGATCTTTTCACATTCGAATTACCCGTCCAACTTACAGAGGCATGTGGCATTCACCAATTAGCATGTTAGCTGAGTGCCCCGACAGGTTTTCCTTAGAATTCACTGGAGTCCACCGAATGAGTTTCTAAGACAAGTTTAATTGTGCAAATGGTTGTGTTTGGCAGATTTGAAGTTGTTATGTCGATTGTGAAAAGATCTGCGGAGCATTTAGCTAATATGCTGATTGGTGGATGCCATATACCTCTGTAATTTGGACGGGTAATTCGAATGTGAAAAGATCAGTGCTATTGGTGTGACCTCGTAGCTCGTGGCGTCCATGCGTGGGTTCGAATCCCACCGAGGCTACTGAACTTTTCACAATCGACATACAAACTTCAAATCGGCCAAACAACTATTTGAAAAAAACACATTGACTAAATTTCTAAGTTTGCTATCATCAATTAGGTTCTATTCTATCTTTTGTTCGAAATATGGTTATATTTTCTGAGTGACTCGCACATCCAGGATAATTACTATTCAGTCACTTGTCCAACTTAGTTTCACGAAATTTCACCATAAGAATACACACTTCTATAGGTGCTCGTGGGTCGTGTGCTTGATTGGTAATTTCTGTAATGACGTGTACTTTCACATGTGCGCATACCATTTGCCCAACCGGAATCTTATTAACTAGCATTGTCCAAATCAGCTGAAAGTTCTATCGGATAACTTAGCCGTGAACCCAATTTTGTGACCATCCATAACGAGTAAGGGATCTTGAGTTACCTATGCACTGGACTAAGGATTAAGTCCTTGTGAAGACGAAAATAATACAGCTGCACACTGATAATTCAATAAAACCATAGATTGATTGATTTGACTGACTATCTTGCGGACATCACCTTCACTGACAATCGACATAACTTCACATCTACAAAAACAACCATTTGCGCAGGTCTTTCTGTCAGACTGCAATCAATGCCTGTTCCAAGTTAGCCAGATTTTTGGGGATCGGCATCATGACCAGTTTGCCGACTCCTTTATCTATCTGCCGACGTGTCTGTCCTATCAACTAGTCATTGCTGACTTCAGCGACAACAACACCACCGCCACCACTATCACCTATTCATGAACCCGATCCCGGTTTATGATCCACATATATCTTCTTTATATTTCCAAAAGACGGTGCTGGTCGAGGATAACCATTTATTGGTGATTACAGATGGGAGATCAGTAATTTGGCACACATAGCACAGAAAATCTAATCAGAAACATAACGTCGCAATTCCTGTCCACACGACGGGTACTGAATGTAGAAATCGGTAGTTCTTCTTTGGGACTCAGAAAATTGCCATAGGTGATCTTGTTGATATTTTATCGTTGAAATAAATCACTACTCACATGTGAGTAGTATCTCACAACATTTTGATCATGAAAATGCACCTATCAGCACTCTCCCCCCGGCCGAACGGTAGTACCGCAACTCGCGTGAGAAAATACCATCATTACCTCTTATCGTTAAGTAGAGCGCATGGTGTATCAGCTTCACCTCTATTCAACTGCTCCTGCTGAAATAGTCTGTTCCCAAAGTTTTTAAAGTGTCAAAACTGTGCACAAACTGAAATTATAAGAAATATCAGATATAGTTCGAGTAATCCTGGCTGTCATTGTGTGACATGTACCATCGTAAGGCTTGACAAAGGTGGCGTGTAATGTACATAAGCGATAAATTAATGATTGCCTATACAGATACGAATTTGAGACAAAAAATCCGCAATGAATATTGTTTCAAATCACACTCCGGTGTGTGAGGAACAACAAAGGAGTTGAGCCGCATAATCTCGAGTAACTACCATCTACTGGTGGTAAACAATACCCTAAGCTCCAGGATTTGAAGTGGCGAATCAAACAAGGTTCCACTTAAGTAGATGTTATTGAGTTGTGTGACAGTGAAGCTGTCTCTCACCAGTTTTGATTGGCCGTGGTGGGATTCTAACTGCAAAACATGTTAGTTTTTGCTGTGACACCCGATATTGGAACACGGTGGTAATTCACTGTATACGTTTGGGGGTACAACCTGCTCAGTGATGGAGAGGATTTTTTTAATGGCAATTGTGTTTTTTAGATGGGGGTAAGGTCATGTGGTTGGTTTTCGAGTGCACCATAATCTCAATCTGGATGATCATCAACGTTTATATCCACTCCGTGTTAGGCCTGATACCATTAAACTGCTATAATTGGATTACTTTTAACCGCTCTCAGAGACAAATGCTTAAATGTTCGAGGTCAGTCTCTGGCAATACCCCTGGGAACATGATAGTTAAACTGAAAAATCGCGGTTATATTCTCTGAGATCTCGGGGTTCGATCTTCAGTGAAGCCGGTAGACTCCCTCAGTCGATGTTCATATCACTTATGACTAAGTTGGTACGACTAGTGGTCACTTTCGATAATCCACTATCACCACATCATCCAGTAAATCTATGGTCAGTTCGCGTATGCCTGGTGGCATCAACATAATGTCCCAACATAATGTATTTCCCTG